TTTGTCATCCATATCCTCTGTGGGTAAAAGATGAACATGCGAAAGTTCATCATGGTTCCTTACTCATTGATATAACTGATCAAATAATGAATAATGAGACGATTAAGTATAGCTATTTTATGTTATTAAATATCTGACAGAGTCCAACATGATTGATTTGATTTTTCAGATTCGAACATTTAATCATGCAACGATTAAAACAAGATTCATTGAAGAGAATTACACAATGGCCGATCTACGTATCCAACCAAGTCGATTGTAATGGTAGGGAATAATTTGAAAGAAAACAACAATTGAAATTCATTTCGATCGATTTGATAGGTTTCTATTTACTCAATACAAACAAGCCAAAAACTATCATTGAAAACTATAATCTTCGTTATAGTGTCTTACATTTTCAAATATTTCTCGTCGATGAAAATCAGGTGGCCTATCCAACTGACTTATTATGTGAAACAACACCTATTTTAGAATATGAAGGTAGAATTCTTTTTACTCATCACTAGACATATTTCATCTAAATTCTTTCAGACAAAGATCGTAAGAGTCTTCCAGTATTTTCTGCATCTGAACGCAAACGTCAAACTAAACGTCTACAACAGAAATCGAATACGGTAACTTAATCTTTCAAAAAGTAACAAAAAGCGACACATTTTTTGCTTTCAGCAGACACGGCGTAAAAACGTAACCAAGAATTGGCAACAAATTCAAAGTGAAAAGCCTGACGGGCTTCATCCGCACAGCAATTCTTGAACATATGGAGTGACTAATCTCGCTCGATTTTTGAATATTTAAATCAAGAAATGTTATCTTATTGTTTTTTATGCAAGAATTTTCACAGAAGACTTTTATTTACTTTTTTCTTGTCAAACAAGATATAACGATACATAAATATCCATTAAAGAGATGGTCTTTTGAATATCATCGGCATGGATTGAAAGAATACTGTTCCATCATAAGCAATTGCAGATAGCACAGATTCGATTGTTTACCTGTAAGTTGAGGGTGTGAGTGTGGTAATAATATATGTTTATCAAGTTAGACATTCATTTTATTACGCAGTTCAAATATTAGCGCATTTATTGTCATTCAGGTTTGCAAATGGAGTATTCTTGCAAACACAAACGTAATATGCTTGGGTTGGTTTTAAAAATATGTGCTCGTAACAATTTTAGCAATTGCGAAGTTCTATGTACTCCCTGTCTTTTATTGATCTAGAAAAGTCATTGAACCGGATCGATGTAATATTTCTGGACTGGTTATAACATTGTTCTCAGATGCTTATGAAATGAACAAGTGCAGCACGAGAGACCTACCGGTCACAACGATTATTATATTTGCTTTAACGAAATCCGCTATCATAATTATCATTTCACACTGAAGTTCTTCTACTGATTGAGTCAGATAAAATGACTGCTTGCGGATAAATTTCAGTGGGAGTGAGAAGCGTTGCAGTGAGTGTCTTTCATAATAGACCTTCACTCACCCTCTCCTCAGCAAATAGAAGAATAGAAACAAAACAAAAAAAATCCTTTTTCTTTTGCAAGTAGAAAATAATGTAAAGGTTGTAATCATTAGTATAACACGTCTAGTGTTTGCATTTTATTATTAGTTTTTGCGTTCTGCATATTTGTGAGAGTTCTTATGAAATTGTGATTCTATCGGAATTCATTGCGCTGCCAACTTCCATCAACGAATTTCTCCATAATTTGCGTATAATGAGTGTGTGGGAAAAGAATGGTATATTTACATCCCACATATCATTGTCTACTTCCTTTCATCATTCACATAAATAGTTATGTTTTTTTCTTACGAAAAGTTGAAGGTATATTACATTAAAAGTAACTACACGTGATCAATACACACATTAACATACAATGGCAGTAGCTCTTATTCCATTAGGTTGGGAAGCACTTCCGTATGCCTTTGGTGCCATTGCTGCAAGTGTTCTTCTAGCGAAAGCAGTTGAAGAAGTCATTAGTGAAAAAAAAAGTTTCGATTCGTCAAGAATTTACTAGTGAATGGCTTGGAAAGACGCTCGAAAATATTGAGAAGGCAGCAAAAGCCGGCGATCCAAGTGCACGAAAAGCTAAGAAACCTCTCAATGATAAACAATTTGACAAAGATGCAAAGAATTAACCATGTCGCTTTTGATTATACTCAAAATAAAATATTCCATATTAAATCCAAAGACACATGCCATTACATTACTCTTAAATATTTGTACACGCTTGTTAGTAGCAAAATATTGCGTTTGATCTAGGTTCAG